TTTATTTATAAAATATTTTTAATAATTAAATTAAATTAAATTAACAATTTAATAATTATTAATAATAACTATAATAAATCGAAGGGTAATCGTAATCTTTGGCCGACCGCCAGATTCCTACGCGCCAATGACCCTCTGCTTTCGCCGATGGAAGAGCTAATATTCACGCGCTTGGTTCCGTTTGCTGATTCGGGTTCCTCATTTCGTCCCGCGTCTTTGATTTTAGGTTTAATGCTAATATTTTGATCCCTAAACTTTGCCTCAAGGAACTTTTTAGTTCATAAACAATTATATGTACTCTGTTGGTTCCTCAACTTGAAAACTTGCAATTTTTAGTCATTTTGTCAACGAAAGTCCACGTTTTTTTTTAAGTCTATTAAAACATTAATTTTTCAATGACAAAGGGTCAACTTAAACTCAAACCCATTAATTATGCACGTGAAATGTGGGTAAATAGAAGTGTTTAGATATTAAATTGATATGAGTGATAAGTGAGAGTTTGAATTAATTTTTTTTCTGTTTATGTGACGTAATAATTGATACGTCATTAAAAAAATTAATTTTATAATCTACTTAACAGCATAACATGGACTTCCATTTGCATAATGACTAAAAATGCACACGTTTTTCAAATTAAAGACCAAAAATTGAAAATATCAAAACAAAATCTATGGACGAAATTAGCACTTAATCTTGGTTTTATGACTTTTTGTTAGTATTAAACAATGCAGAATCTTTTTTGTTAGGTAGAAAACAGTGCAGAATCATTGCGTCACTTGTGGAGGAACAGACAGCCAAAGTTGCGGCTAAGACTCCGTTTGGCTAGTATAGTTTCAGACAAAAGCATTGAAGTTTTAAGGAACAGTTGCTTTCTTTTCCCGTTGTTTTATACTTCTCCATACCCTTCATAGGCCCAAACCGCCTTTCCGAAAGCAAATTGTTTTGAAAACTTCCCATTAAAAGTTTATATTTTTAAAACTCAATAAAAAAAATGAGAACAGTTGAGATATACATCCTACCAGAATCCATTTTGTCATTTGAAGAAGCTCTCTTAAAGCTGTGTTTGGTGGTAGTTTTTTTGGGAGAAATTGCTATCTTAGAAATATGCTACCCTGTCCATCCAAGACTATGCTATTTTAAGTATTTTATCATTAAATTTTTTATTTTCTCATAATTAAGTTGTTACGTGCTTGTTAAGAAAAAAAATTGAAAAGATTAACTTTCTAATAAGATAAAAACTGAGGATCAAGGGAAAACATTAAACAGATAAACTTTTTGATAAGATGGGAATTGAGGATCAAGTTGACTCAACAATTAGCAATACAATTATAGAGTAAATAGGTTTTTTATAGTGTATTTGGTTTGAAAGGAGAGAATGGAAGATTTTTTAACTAATAAAATTTAAATATCCTCAAACTAAATAAATTATTAATAACTAAAAAAAATCAAATATACTATTAATATTACGACAAAATACAACTTAAGTTCTAAATAAAGTTTTCATTAAAATGCAATTCGCTACTTTCATAAAAA